CTGGGGGAATTTTCTACTTCAGCCAAAAGAGTATTTGTGGGGTCAGACATTGATGTGCAACAACAAGAGCCGGCTCACAACTGGCCTTCCAATTCAACCCCAAAGGTGTTCAGTAGGGTTGAGGTCAGGGTTCTGTGCAGGACACCCGAGTTCCTCCACACCAAACTCATCCAACCATGTCTGTATGGAGCTGGCTTTGTACACAGGGGACAGTCATGGTGGAACACAAACTGTTACCATAAGGCTGGAGAAGCGCAATTGTCTAAAATGTCTTTGCATGCTGTAGTATTAACAGTGCCTTTCACTGGAAACACCTAAACTTAAAAATTTGGAGGGGGGGGTCCACATACCTTTGGCCATATAGTGTATTAGGCCGATTTAGATGCCATAAATGGGTGGCAAATTGTGCATGGATTCTTTTGTATGCAACAATTGTTGCAAATAACCTCATTGCAGATTGTTAATACATATTCAGATTTCATTATGCCTTGGATATCCAAGTGTCTGGCAGCCCAATTATTTATATTTGCTTGAAGAGGGTAAAGGCAAGGAAGAAGCAGGGCCCAAAATGTTGCTAGGTCTATTCTGTTAATTGATTGATTTTCCTAGGCCTGTTTTCAGACTTGTTAACCACTAACCCGAGACTCTGAGTTTGTGGAGTTAGTACAACGGGCACATACGTCACACCTGGCTGTCCTGATCTTTCACCTACTTGCGGTGTCCAGCAACTGTCATCAACAAGCTTAAACATCATGGCCTTCGGCAGTGTGGAAAACAGCCTCTATTTGTGCAAAAACCTGTCCTGCTGTGCTAGCCATAGCAGGCCGTGTACTCTGCACTGTACATAGAGTTCTCTGTGTCTAAAAATGTTGTCCTGTAAAGCCTGCTCTCTTATATGACTGTGGTATGTATTGTCACTCAAAGAGCCTGTCCACATGAAAGTTGTTACAGATGGGATAGAGTAGCCAATAGCTTCCTACATAAAGCCTTGGTTTAATAATGTTTCTGCCGGATCAATGGTTCTGCCCCATCTAGTTTAAGATTAATCTTTGCTGTTGCAACCCTGTAACCTAAATTAAATAGAGATACCCCCACCTCCCATCTTGAGGGTCACAGAAAACAGCTCCCACTTTTATTGCCTTTGGATAATGGATGCCCACAAACCATTGGGTATAATAAGTATCTGCTACCTGCTCAGATACCATCAAGCTATGCCCACTGCTGCTGCTACCCATGCCCTTTGCATCTGCTCCCCTCTTCCCTAAGCCATGCTACGACATTTCCTATGACCAGATACATCATTTCCCTGTCATGAGGCACCATGTTGTGTGTTGTATGTATGAGCTTTTTTTTACATATGGCTTCAGCTGGCCACACACATGGTTTTTATTTCTGATCAGATAGGTCAGATCAACAAACTTTATCAATATTATTAAGCAGTCCTTTTGCCAACATTTGATACAAATACCTTGTAGAGCCACAACATCATACACAAGGCAAACTAGGCAGTGGCCATGGGCCTGGTGGATGTCCAGAAGGCCCAGCTATAACTTTCATGTAAACCGGGGGAATAGCTCCATGGTAAGAGCTGAGCACCTACGTATCCCTTCACTAGGGATGATATACTTTGTATGCAGCTGATGTACCAGTACAGGCAATGCAAAAGGAATGACTTAATTGGAGATCCTGCCGGAAAAAACACTACCTGTTGTAGGTTGTCACTCTGCCATGGGAGCTTCTTCAGTTGGGGTGCCTATTTGATAGGCCTGATAAGCAGCCAAATGAAAGCAGCTCACACAGCAGGCTAAAGCTGGCCATACACCTTACAATTATCTGCAGATTGTCTGTGGTCAGATAGAAAAGGTGCAACAGATTCCTCCATCTACACCTAACTGTGTGGATGGAGTAATCTCCACCTGGTCCAATCCGTTGCACCTTTTCCATCTGACCACAGACAATCTGCAGATAATTGTAAGGTGTATGGCCAGCTTAACAGTTGTCAGCCTGCAACAGGAAGTGCTGGTACTGACAGGAGCTCCAGGTAACTGCGTTAAATTAATGAAAAAGGATTTGCTTAAGAAAACTTTATACAGTGGAGCATTATGTCAAAGATTTTGGGCTTTATATACAATTTAAAGGGTTTTCAAAGCCAAATTAATTTTTTTTAAATTTTTAGATGGAGTAGGGTCCCCATCAGGTTTTTATTGTTGTATCCCCATCGGACCCAGCCTCTCCATTTTGTCAGGGAGACCATTGTCATGGGACAGAAAGAAGAAACCTCATATAGGCAATCTCATATAGGTGGGATGGTCAGGTGTCTACAATCATTTGCTCATGGGAAGGCCAACATCATAATAATGCCCATGGTTCTAGAATGGGATGGTCAGTAATCTCATATAGGTGGGATGGTCAGGTGTCTACAATCATTTGCTCATGGGAAGGCCAACATCATAATAATGCCCATGGTTCTAGAATGGGATGGTCAGTAATCTCATATAGGTGGGATGGTCAGGTGTCTACAATCATTTGCTCATGGGGAGGCCAACATCATAATAATGCCCATGGTTCTAGAATGGGATGGTCAGCAATCTCATATAGGTGGGATGGTCAGGTGTCTACAATCATTTGCTCATGGGGAGGCCAACATCATAATAATACCCATGGTTCTAGAATGGGATGTTTAACAATCTCATATACAGGTGAAACTCGAATAATTAGAATATCTTGCAAAAGTAATTGCAGTAAGTGCTGCAAAAGGGGCCCAAACCAAGTACTGAGTACATATGCATGCTTGTACTTTTCAGAGGTCCGATATTGTTCTATGTACAATCCTTGTTTTATTGATTGCATGTAATAATCTACTTTTTTGAGGTTGTGGATTTGGGGTTCTTGGGGTTTTCATGAGCTGTAAGCCATAATCATCACAAGTATGACAAATCACGGCTTGAATTATCTTGCTTTGCATGTAATGCGTCTTTCTCATATATTAGTTTCACCTTTTAAGTTGCATTAGTGAAATAAATGAACTTTGCACGGTATTCTAATTATTTGAGTTTCACCTGTAGGTCGAATGCTCAGGTGTCTACAGACTTTTACTCATGTACTCTAGAACAAGTTGCAGTCCCAGGACAACCAGCAACTAAAACAACTTCTAGTTTTACCCAAGAAACCATGGAATTCCCTTTGGCTGGTATAAACGATCTCTCTGGTTGCTCCCGTCTTTAAAAGGAGCCAACTGAATGCGATTGCAGCAAGTAAAAAAAAGATTAGCAAGCAAAGTATGCACAGACTGATAATGTAAGAGCAGCGCCTGTACAGGACAGAGTGACTGGCTGCCAAAGACTTCTCCAGCCCTTTACCACACACCTAACACGAGCCCCCAGCTCCCCGACCAATGGGACGGCTCCCTCCGGACCAGACCTGCGCATGGGCCCTCCCCTCCGTCCAGTCCACACCTGATTTATTTATACCTGGAACGTCTCCCATTGTAACAGCCAGAGCTTATTGCATCAGTTTTAAACTAGGGCAAAGTTGAGTCTGTTTTGCTGAGATGAACAGAAACTTGGAAACATGTTTTCTCCAACGGAAGACCTTTGCAACGGTTGCAAGGGGCAGAAAATACATTAAAGTGTTTTATGTCGATGGACTATGGTTTTATGTCAGGCTAGCAGTAAACACCACGTACATTTTATGTGTTCTATAACACCGCGTCATTTACTTTGTTGTGCAACAGAATTTTATATGCTAGTGTTTGTGGTCACGGCTCATTTAAAGTGTATCTCTAGCCAAACCCTTTTATATAGTTATGGATGGAGTGTGGAAGGGTTGGGGCCCCTGCCAGGTTTCCTTTTTATTGCTGTCTGGTTCATTCTCTGTGTTTGTCTAGGTAACCATTCGGACGGGCAATCCAACATTTTACAGTTGTCACCAGAACAGGAGGTTAAGGGTAAATCTCCCAATTAGGGACACCTTGGAGATGAATGGGTAAGAGGACACTTCCCCTCACTTTGGAGAGATTTCCTCTCATTTGCTGTTGTGTCTCCTGGACAGGAAGTGAAGGAAAATCTTCCTCATGGGACTCATACTAAAAAAAAAAAAGGACAAGGACTATTTTTCACAGTCCCTCCATTCTATCTAAAACAAAGTCTATCTAAAATGTTTAAGCTAGAAATATACTTGAGGGCTTGTTCACACCACTTCCAGTGCGTTCCAGCACGCATAGCTGCTGGAATGCACTGAATCGCATCCCGGCAGGCTGCCTGCGTTCTGGGGTGGGAGGAGACGTGGTGGTACACATTTTTTTAAATCACACTGGACAAGAACGCAGGCATTGATATGCCACGCATTCTGATGTGGGTGATTGCACTGTGAGCAGGGGGCGTGGCAGCGGTGCCATTGACTTGGGCAAGCAGGGCTAAATGTACAGCTTGTTTTGTATGTTTACCTA